AGAAAATAATTATTTTATTTTATTTTTTAAATAATTATTTTTTAAAAAGAAAAACACATAAGGGTACGTCATGACTTTTCCAACAACCCAATAATCTGAGGACAGGGGAAGTGCCAGAAATTCTAGCATCAGAAAGCACATCACAAACTCATGGTGGCTTTGGGACATCTATCCGAGGGCTCTACCAGCCCTGGTCTTCATCTAATGCCTCCTGAGCTACTGGTTTCAAGGAAGGCAAAGGACAAGCTCTTGGCACCTCGATAGACAAGCTTCCTAAGGTGATCCCGGATCACGTGCGTGGTAACAGTGCTGAAGGGATGGGCAGCAAACCCGCGGGTGGCTGTGAACAGTCATGAGAAAACGCCCTCTGTTACCGCCAAAGCGTTACAGTGGAGACCTGCCGCAGTGCCTCGATGGTGGGTGGCCTTGGACACGGTCAGGTGCAACAGCAAGGCACACATCGCTCAGCTGGGGGCTGGCCTGTGTTCCCGCTCCCTGGGAATTTTCTTCAGCATGGACACTCTAGGACCGTGGGTTAACCCCTGAGTCTTCCCATTCACCGTTCACCATCTAAGACAGAATCCCACAGAGCAGCGGAAAGCTGCACCCCACATGGAAGTCTCCCATGAAGGACCCCTCACACCGCCGCTGTGTTTTGTGTCTCTGGACTTATTTTTTCAGATAAGTTTGGGGAGTCAGTGGCATACATTCATGAGCATTGAAAGTTATTTTCTATTATTATTTTGCTAAAATTTTTGAACCAGAAAGATGTACAATTAGAAAAACTCAGAAAAACGTGTTATTAGATAGAGCAATGGCCTTTTTCCAAATTTCTGAAGACATGTGGTCTCTTTATCAAACAAACAAAAAAACTGAAAAGGATGAATAAGGTATATAAATTTGGATTAATATCATTAATTAATCATTATGATTCCTATTATTCCTAGAATTAAAAGTAACTATCATTCATATTTTATTTTTAAAGAATTATTTATTTAATTTTATTTATCATTATTATTATATTTTAGTTTGCACTCACCAGAGAGAGAGAGAGACAGAGAGAGAGCAAGCAAGCCACCAGGTCCAGGGCTCAAACTGCAGTCAGCCATGTGGGAGTCCAACACACTAATCCCCATGCCACCTGCTGGCCTGTAATATCATTTACTAAGTGTACTATGTGCTAGCCAATGTCTTACTTTTTTTAAAAGAATCATTATTTTATTTAACTTTATTTATTTATTTAAATTTTAAACAAAAAAGAACAGAAAGAGAAAGAGAGAGAGAAAGTGAGAAAGGAAGCCACCGAGTCTCGAACCGCAGTCGGCCATGTGAGAGTCTAGATCCTTAACCATCAGGCCAGCTCCTGGCCCCCAATGTATTAATTCCCCCCCACTACCACCACCACCATGGAAGTGGTCTCATTGGTCCTGCTTTTCAAATAGGGAAATTAAGGTTTGGAAGTGTAACTATTATTTTGTTCAAAGTCACCATGGAAGTGGTCTCATTGGTCCTGCTTTTCAAATAGGGAAATTAAGGTTCAGAAATGTAACTATTATTTTGTTCAAAGTCTTCTGGGGAGTAAGCTGGAGAGACAGGCTTGGGAACCAAACAGATATGGCTTTAAAACTTGCAATCTTTCCAATATCTCCGTTGAGAACAACTAATTTACAAGCTCAAACAACATTTTTCCTCCATTAAAACTTTTTTTTTCAAGATAAAACTGACTTTGTACTTTAATGTTGAGCTACCAGAATTTTTGAGAGGCATTAACACACAGTAATAATTTTTGAAGACTTAATTTAAATGCATTTAGCTCAATTTGCATAACCAAGTCTAAGCTCATTTGGGGGGAACCAGGTCTCCTAAGCACAAGCAGGTGCCATTGAGCTTTCTGCCGTCACAGTTTGTAAGCCCAGAAGCACAGCCCGTGCTGGGACTGTGAGAGGCAGACTGCAATGCTGGGAGGACTTGAGACACTGCCCAGAATCCACATGGACACCGAGTTCTACCAGAACAAGTGACCCTTGGAATCCGAAGGGTGGGGACAAAGGAGGGTAGGTGGGATGGAAACAGACGCTATGGTAACCCTGCTAACAGGCCTACGACAGCATAAAACAGACCTCGGTTATTTCCTCGGGAGTCACTCAACACATGCTAACCGTGCTTACCACGTCTGGATGCTACTGGCCACTCAACGGAATGGCCGGCGTGGTTTGCAGCAAACCCTATCACAGCGTCCTGTGACTGCACCATCCCTTATTCTCACAGCCATGATTGTGGGTCCCTGTCTCCGCGTAACCACAGTCACAGTCAGTACAAAGCCCCAGACGGGTCCCATGACGACCTCTCACACCAGCCTAGTGAGGTAAACTCTCCTGAGCTGGTTTCTAAGTTATTTGCTTTCAGGACAGCAGATGGCATAGCGGTTATCTTGCTGGACTCCCATATGGCCGACTGGGGTTTGAGTCCTGGACCTGGTGGCTTGAAACTCACAGCAGCCATGGTGCATGCATGCCCAAGATCCTGGGAAGAAAATGTAGGAGAAGGGAAAGCGGCATAGCCATCCCCCTGGGGGGTGATTTCTCACTTTCCCTCTCACTATCTCTTTCTCTCTCGCTGGTGAGCATGCATGCCCTAAGGCAAAAGCCTCTAAAAAAAAGAAAAAAACCTCTAAAAAAAAAGAAAACAAGTCGTTTACTTTCTGTAGCTCCCTACTCTGTAGGATGGATGGAGAAGAAAGAAGGAAAGAGGAAGGTAGAGAAAATATTGCCCCCCCAGGAGAAAATCAGCAACATTAGGAATGATTCAGCACTGGCTCTTTAACTGCAGAACGCAGAATGTGAAGATTCCCTATAGTTTAGGAGTTGTATTTACTTTCATTTTCTAACTTTACGGGAAGGGGAGGTGGTGTTTGATTTCAGCTGCGGGGTGGGTGTTTTCTTTGCAAACAGAAGAGTGACAGGAAAGGACCTGGGTGCACAGTGCCCGGCCGGTCCTTGGGGTTACCTTGCAGTTTCTGGCTGTACTCGGTCCTGTCGGACTGGCTCCTGCGCAGACTGGCAGAGGGGTCCGCAGGGGCGCTGCCGGCCACCACGCTGTCCGTCTTCCTCCTCTCCAGCATGTACAGCCTGGTCCTCAGGAAGGTCAGATTCTTCTTCTTGGTGCCCATGTTTTCAGTCCTCATGGCTTCTTTGGGCTCCATGTGAGGCAAAGACCAGCTTCAGAGGCTTACAGGCCAGGCCCAGCTGCCGAGGTGCCTCAGAGTGAGGGGGACACACCCGAGCAACAGTCTAACTGCCCCTTCTTACTAGCCGGCGGCGTCACTCAGGGTTACCTGGCTGTGACTGCCACCTCTATGGAGTCCCAGAGCCCCACCCCTATGAGGTCATTCTTTTTTATGCCTAGAATCCAACAGGGGAAGCTGCCACCTGTTACCTGAGAGACCTGCTGCTCAGAGCTAGGCAAAGCAGGGACTGCACTGTCACATGCGCCCCAGCAAGCAGAAATACATTGTGCAGGGCGAGGGAGGCCGGGGGAGCGTGAAGGGCACGGATGTGTGCAGCTGGTGACTTAATGTGTGCCTTGGTGTGTCCAGGTGTGTCCAGGTGTGCTCAGGCCCGGCTGTGTTCTGCTGCCTGGAGGCAGCCTGGGCTTGTGGGTGGCTTTTGGCCAGAGTCGCTCTACGTGACCCAGGGTGAGCATGGGGCTACAAGAATTTGCATTTGCATCATGACCATGTGTACAGAATTCTTTCTCTCTTCTGTGTGCACTAAGTGACGCTTCTGCTTTGACACAGCAACGTGGAGAGATTACTTACTGAAAACACACCTGCCTAACCCTGCTCCGCATTCCTGGGAAAATCGGGATTCACACTTCAGAGCCGCCTGGCAGGAGGTGCACAAGGGGGAAGCCCGCAGGGCCCGGAGCCTCTTGGCCTCTCTCCACGCTGCCCTTGCCTGAATTCGGCCTTCCAAGGCCCAACCCTGCCCTCTGTCCTGGCCTTCAGGAAGATAAACGCTATGCGGCTTGGATTTCTGCAAGCTCCTTCCCGTCTCTTTCACAGACTGGTGTCAGGAAGGGCAGCTCGCCTGGGGAAACCGGGAGGAGGCCTTGCTGGAAGCAGGTGCTCAGGACCGAGGAGGACCGGGCAGCGGGTGACGGCCGGTGAGAAGGGGGAGGAGGGACAGGCCGGCCTGGCATTGATTTTTCTGAAGCTGTTTTCTCTTGTAGTTACTGAGCTCTCTCCAGGGGGAATCCTCAGAAGCACTGGGAATGTGCCCGGTGTTCCGTGTGCCTCGTTAAAAAGCAAAGAGCCCCCGAGGAGGAAAATGGATTCTCTTCTATCGCCCAGGGACTGCCAAAATTCAGCTTTGCACTGCTGGTTCTGAACCTCAGTTAACTCCTGTTACACAAGATTTGTAAATGAGGAAAAAGAGATAAAACCATTTCCCCAACTCAAGATGTGTGGGCTGAATACAATTTGCATAATATCTTAAAAGATAAATGGCAACTCTCCACCCACTGTAGACTGGCAGACTGGATGGCTTTTGTTTAATATCATTGATAGCTCTTCTTTAACCAGCCTTTCTAAGTACATTCAATAAATACTCTCAAAGGCAGATTCACCTCTAAGATGGAAAATGAGCTTTTTTGATTCATCTTGAAAATGTCTCAGCTGTGTACATATATATGACATATATATGTATATATATACACATACATATGACACTCATGTATTATCTTGGTAACCAGCAGGGATAAACCGTTCAGCCTTAGCTCCACAGCAACACTACGCTATTAAAACTACAGGACTGGGAACCAGCAGTTAGCGTAATGACTATGTCACTGGACTCCCACGTAGTCGACCACAGTTCGTGTCCCGGACCCGGTGGCTTAAAACTCACGCCGGGCGCGTGTGCGTGCGTGCCCAAGATCCCGAGAGGAGAATGGAGGAGAAGGGATTGCAGCGTGGCCATCCCCCCTGGGGGGTGATTTCTCGCTTTCTGTCTCTATGTCTCTGTCTGTCTGGGGAGCGCATGCGCCCTATAGCGAAAACCTCTCAAAAAACAAACAAAAAAAAACCCTACAGGACTTACGGGAAATATGAAGTTTAGGGACAGAGGCCTCAAAAACTGGCCATGACTCACAATAACCAGAGAGAAATCTAATAAAAATAGGGGCATGGTTTTCCATACGATAAATGCTGATTCATCAGAGGGGTCTTGCAATGGAATTAAAGCGCGTATTTATTTTGGTACAAAAAAACTTTTGAAATGTACGCAGTTTTTGTACGGTATACATTTTCCATGAGCTTATTTTTAAAAAGGAGTATTCATTGAATGTTTTATTGTTATTGCAGCCTGTCTCTGAGCTTTGCCAAGACCCTTGTGTACAAAACCCTGTGGTGGTGTGACCCTTCACCTCGACGAAGGTCTGGCGTTGGTTTGTGGAGGTGGCTGCCCGCAGTGGCGGCCTCCGAGTGCCTGCAAAGGGGTGGAAGAGGGTTATTTGAAACCAGAGGGAATGTCTGAAGGTGAGCGGGCGTGGTCAGGAACACTCAGCCTCAGCCTCTGAAACAGAGGGCGATGTTTGAGGGGACTGGGGAGAGTTTCGTTGTGTCCTCTGTAACTTGGTCCTCTGTGTACAGTTCCTGGCACTTGCCTAGTGTTTGAAGGAGACAAAAATCACACAGAAGCAAATGCAAAATTGTGCTATGATCCAACAGTTCCCGAATGTATCAATTTTGTTGGAACAAATGTGTGTTTCGAAACAAGCATTAAGCAATGGGGACGGTGCTGTCTTCATTATAGTTTCAATTTCACCAACTATGAAGACAGTTAGGGTGGCTACTATGAGTTCAGGGGTAAATAAATATTTTATCCATTAAGCATAGTTTCTATGTGGGACCAGCAGATGGCCTAATGGTTATGTCACTGGACTCCACTTAGTTGACCACGGTTTGAGTCCCAGACCGAGTGACTTAAAACTCATGCTGGGTGCATGTGCAGGAGTGCCCAAAATCCCAAGAGGAGAAGGGATCGTAGCATGGCCATCCCCCCAGGGGGTATTTCTCACTTTCTGTCTCTCTGGTGAGTATACCTGCCCTGTAGCAAAATCTCTCTCTAAAAAAAGAATAGTTTCTATGTAAACTTTTAAAATGATAATTGTTTTCAATACTACCTCTCTTTCAATTAATAAAGCAAAATTATCATTGATCAGTCCAGCAGAGTGTGACCTTGAACAAAATAAGGGTTCTATTGGCAGGGAATGGCTTGGGGTAGGAGGTGTAGGAACTTAGATTGATGAAGCAACTGTCAGTGCTATGCTGACCGAATGTAGCATTGATGGGATGGTCAGGAGTTATATTTGGGACCCGCAGGTGGCGCGGTGGTTAATGTCACGGACTCCCACATGGCTGACTGTGATTTGAGTCCTAACCTGGCAGCTTGCTTTCTTACTTTCCCTCTCTCCCCTATGTACACATGCCCTATACCAAATAAAGAAATAAGAATAAGATTAAATAGATAATTCTTTTTAAAAAGTTATATTTGGGATACACTAAGGTCAACATTCCTGTCAGAGCAAGAAAGGACAGGTAGGCTTGGACATACTCATCTGGAGTTACCACTTCAACTTTAGGTAAGATTCTGGTGTCGTTAGGATGTCCATGTTTTATAGGGCCAAGGACTGATGAAGTTATAAGGAAGAAACTGTATGCAGAGGACAAGGACTGAAATAAAGCCTGAAGAATTCTACATTTAAAGGCAAGGCTTGAAGAAAACACAGCAGAGAAGACAGAGGAGAGCAACCCCTGAATCAGGAGAAAAACCACGAAATGTGTAGTCGAGAAGTCTGGACACAAGTCTTTCCAAAGTGGACGGGGAGTCTGCCAAAAGGCCAAAAACAGAAAAAGGAGAGAAGAAACAGAAAATTATTCCTTTAATTTGACACAATGGTAATGATTCATGAGATTTTTGAAAAGAGTTGCGGAGAAGGAAGACGGAATGGAAAATATTCCATAAAGGGGGTAAAACCATTGAAAGATGAGGGATTCGCACTTCTGAAGGCATGTACGATCATTTGTTATTATTGGGCAATTAGTCTACGGAGGGATTCCACCGAGGTCAAACAATGAGGAAGGCTCAGCAGTATCCATGTTGTACAGATACAGAAACAAGTTCAGAGAAGTTAAGTGCACTGACCGAGTCGCGGCACGAGGTGAGGGGCGGGCAGAGGTAAACCTTCGACTGCTTTTATCCTAGTGGCCAAAGGAATGTTAGCAATGGCACATGTTCATACTGGGCCGGTCTGGGCTGCAGTGAATTACCCATTACGAGATTTTCAAGGCAGGGGGAGGGACTTACCTTGGAAAGGGAAAGAATCTGCAAGTGCAGGAGCCAGCCTGGCTTTGATCAAGGCCAGCTACAGACACAAGAAAGGACCACTGGAGTCTTTAAAAACCATCTACTTAATGATGCCCGGGTCTAAGTCAGATTGCTGGATTCCATTTCCGACAGAGCATGACCTTTCGGAATTCATTTCACAGTTACTCAACAGAATCGCAATTCGGGTCAAAGCAATTGGCACGGAGACGACCTGTCCTCATTTTCAGGGGAGAATTCAGAAAGCTGTCTTTGCCCCCTCTCTCCAATTTCTCCCAACTTTATTTTCTAAAATTTGCACTTAATGTTAGGTATCTTCTAAGTGTGACATAGAATGAAAGGTAGTTTGAACGTAAGTTATAAACAGCCAACTTCATGCTTCTTCTATTGATTATGAACAATTTGGACACATTGGTTGAAAAAAACTTGATACTATGGTTAAACATGTAGATGTGCACGTCATGGAACCATGTTTTACATGCAGGACTGACTGCTGAGGACTCGCAGAATATGGCCATCAGTGACCCTAGAGACTCAAGCTCTAACAAATGACACTTTGTCCCCCCACGTCAAGGCATTGCTTTCTCCTTCCACTTGCCTTTGGTCCATGTAGCACCCGGCTGCTCCGAGAGCCGCTGCGGGCTCCTGGCAGACGCTTGCTCAGCTTGGAGGAGACACGGTCGCTGTAGATGGCTATGAGAAACGGTATTTTTAATAAGGGCAGCAAGACCTCAGTTAAATTACTTCTGCTAAGGATCATTTTTAATGGCGGGAGTGACTTTGACAAGCATACTGTTCCCGAACCAACCACGGACCTTGGATTCATTAGTTCTAAGATTTGTCTGTGAGCCTTAGGTTTTTCTCCTGGTGTAGGAAGACCACCTAGCCTCTCTGACTCAGTTTCTTCACCTTTCGAGGCTGATCTTCCCACTGATCTGAGTGTTTTGCAGGGATACATTGCTACCTCTTTAGAGAACATTATTAAATTTGATATTACAGTATCCATGGCAACCACAACTAGGTCAGGCTGCACTCTGAGTCACAAATAACAGCAGAGACTCTGTATCCTGTCTGTGTCGGCAAAACCTTGCTAGGCTGCTGAAAGTAAGTAGCTGTGCAGCAGAAAGACCTAGAGACTTAATTTCTTATTCATTTGTGATCTACACACTCATAGAAGTTCATGCAAATTAGACCTTGCATATGTGACTCTGCCCAACCAGCATGAATATTTGAATAATGATTTTTAGTAGTGAAGCTTTAAGGCTTTCTTTGAAAATATTAGGACTAAAGTCAACTACAATTAACATCTAGAAAACAGCTGTAGAAAGAATTGGACTGGCATGGAGATACCACCTTTCCACTTTGTCTCATCTAATTTTCCCCCCGAATTACTATTTTCTTACTGAACTAAGAAATATTAATTATTCTTTTCTATTTGCCACTTGAATATTTTTATCTAAAGAAAAAAAATTTGGATCCATGCAGTAGAACTGGGAGAAAAGAGAGGGAATATTTTTCCTTTTCACGTTAAACGGTTTGTCAAAATGTGATATTTTAGAATAACCTAGTAGTCACTAAGTTCTTTTTTTTTAGAGAGAATTATTTATTATTATTGTTATTTTTTAATTTGGTCAGAGAGAGAGAGAAAGTGAGAAAGCAAGCCCCCAGGTCCGGGACTCGAACCGTGGTTGGTCATGTGGGAGTCCAGTGCCTTAACTGCCATGTCACTTGCCGGCCCAGTCACTAAGTTCTTTATAGCACTGAATTCTCCTTCAAGTAGCCCAAAGGGTCGCCGACTCTTCAGATCAATAAATAGAATAGAAAACCTACTGTACGTCTATGAGTTGATTTGCATCCTTTCACTTTGAGCAAGACTCATTTAGATTTCAGTTTCCAGGAAGTACATCGTGAATCGTTGCTCTGCAGGTATTAGAAATCAAAGTGAGCGGGGCAGTTACTGAGTCAGCTCTCAAGTATTCACACAGCGGCTGCGTTGGCAGGACAGGGCAGCAGTGCTCCTCGTCTCGGAGTTCTCATCTCACTGAGGGCTGCAGAAGCGACGCTGGCAGTATAACATGCAGCCTTCCGTGTCTCTGCCGCGGGTGGCACTTGTGAGTGCTGTGACCTTGGTGGTGTCAGTCACATTTTCCTCAAAGATGTATAATCTGCCAAAAGCAAGTTAGATCCAGACCATGACAAGATTTTGTTTTCCATAAATTAAGTCTTGTACGGGGGCTCGAAAACTTCACACTGCCCCAAAAGCGCGCACTGAGATGTAATTTACAAATATTAGGCCTTGTCTGGCCCCGACTCCACCATTTCCTACTGCTCTTTTTTTTTTTAATTATTTAATTTAATTTATTTATTCATTTGTTAATTTCAATTTGACCAGAGAGAGACAGAGTGAGAGAGAAAGTGAGAAAGCAAGCTGCCAGGTCCGGGACTCGAACCGTGGTTGGCCATGTGGGAGTCCAGCGCCTTTAACCACCATGCTACCTGCTGGCCCCATTTCCTACTGCTCTTCACACATCAGGAAGCGAAGGTGACCCAAGCGTTTCTCTGTAGCAGACTGATGGAGGGCTTCCTTCATTGATGAACACCAGTTCCCATAAAAACATCACCGAGTGCTAGTCCAGACATGAAGGGGAGTCCTCGCAGATGGTTTAAGGCCTGCTGTCGAGTTCCCCAGACCCCCGGAAGTACAAGCCAGGTGATGTGAAGTACTCGTGCTAACCTGTCTTCTACGTCCCTCGGGTCTACCTCCATGATAGGCCTGAAGGTTTCCCAAAATGTCACAGTTTTAACAACTGAAAACAAAATGGGGGGACCAGCAGATGTCCTAGTGGTTGCATCGCTGAACTCCCACATGGTCAACTATAGTTCAAAATCCCAACCCAGTGGCTTGAAAATCATGCCGGTCATGCAGGCATGTGTGCCTGTGAGGCCAAGATCCTGGAGGAGAATGTAGAAGGAATTGAGGCATGGCCAACTTCCGCACCCCTCCCAGGGAAGTGATTTCTCACTTTCCCTGTTACTGTGTCTCCCTCTCTCTGGGGAGCACACACACCCTAAGGCAAAAACGTCTAAAAGAAAAGAAAGCAAACCAGGACCATACAGTTAGGAAGTATTAAAAGTTGGGGCACGGTAGTTGAGGCAGTTGGCTCCCCCACCTGGCCGACTGCGAGCTCTCCGGCTGGCAGGCCGGGTGTGTGTGCGTGTGTGCCCAAAATCCCGAAAGGAGAGAGAGATGAAGAAGGCAGTGCAGTGTGACCATGCCCCAGAGAGCTGCTTTCTCATTTTCCCTTTCTCTCTCTCTCTCCTCAGGGAGCACATGCGCTCTCTGGCAGAAATTTTTAAAATAAGATAAAATAAAGCAAAAATACACAGAATTATAGGAAGAAATTAACAGATAATCACAGATCTTAATAAACTTTATTAGGAAAATATTCATCAAAGTGATGAAAAAGATTAAGAAACAAAAAGGCCAAACAAAATTACGAAGTTTTATCTAATTTCTACATATTCCATATATTATAAAGCATTAATCTTATGTGGTATTTTCATATATTTACTTATGCTATTTAAATTACATATTAAACATATCAATATATTTATTATTAATAGAATGAATATATCATATATTACTTACAGCATATATATGGCAGTGCATGTAGAAAACCATGCACCAAACAAATAACACACATGGGTCATATCACATGCAAGGTCATGCTTCTTTTCTCTAAAATTGACAAATACATACATATTCTTGCATTTTGACTTAATTAAATATTTTTTAAGTTAAAAATCCTGCTCAAATTCTAGAAATTTTAGTAAAAACTTAAAACAATAAACACAAACTTGTATGAGTTAAAGACAAAAAAATTAAAATTGCAAAACAGAGTCAGTATTGAAACTATTAGATGCTGAATCCTATAGAGCACAAGTAAACTATTACTAAGAATGAAATTTAAATTTCAAGAAAATTTATTTGAAAAAATGAAATGCAGTCGGCCATGTGGGAGTCCACAATATAACCATTAAGTATCTGCTGGTCCTAATAATTTTAAGAAAAATAATAACAATAGATATTTTCAAAGTCATAAGAGAGCACCTTGAAAGTCTTATCAATAACTTTGAAAAATCCAAGTTTTATTGTTCTAGAAAATACAAAATGTTAAAATTGATTCAAGAAGAAATAGAAGTGCCCGGGGCTCAGCCGCCACCTGACGGCCGGCCCCCCACTGACCCCCTGCGGCCCGGGGCAGGAGCCACGGCG